GCAGTGCAGATAAGAACCCAAATAATGCTAAACTTCTGACTGTGTTGATGCAGTTTTCCTTTTAATTTCATCTCATTCTCTGCAATTCATATAAAATAAAATCCCAATTTATGCCAGGTGGGTAAACGGTCCCACCTGCAATGTCTGACTGAACAGAGTAAAACCAGCCCAGGGAATACTGAGGAAATCCCACCTGCAATATCTGACTGAACAGAGTAAAACCAGCACCTTCTAACTTTCCACCTCCATGTAACCCAACCCAACCCCCTGAGAAAAGCATCGATAAGCTCAATTATTTACTGATTTTAGCAATTCCCATGAATGTTATTAATTTGTCAGTGCCTACAAAGGGAAGGGAAGTCTCTCTCGAGTAGTTCTGTGTTATACAAATTTATTATTGCACTTAGGCCTGGCCTTTCTGGCCATTGTCCTTCTTTTTTTGTGGAAAATGAGGCACCTTCAGGAAACAAAATGTAATTTAAAGGGTGGCTACGGTCGGTGGTGTCCGGGCTCCCTCTCCTGGCTCTTCCTTTGCCATGAAATGTTCCTGCTTTGCAGCTTTTCCTGCTGATTCCCGGCTCTCTCCCTGTGTGGTTTAATCCCCCACCGGGGTAGAACTGGGTCTAAATGTTTAAATATCCCAAATTAGGCCTGTCAGGAGGAGCAGCACCAGAGCTTTGCCTGGGGCTGGACATGGCTGCTCCCAAATTCCTGCCCTCTGCCCACCCACAGGCTTTTCTACCTAATAATTGGGCTTTTTTGGAGCCTTTTTATTTCAAACCTCTTCTTCTGTCTTATGGAAGACAGAGCCTTTTTCTTAACAGTTTATACCACAAACCTCATGTTTTTTGTCACTTTTACAAAGACACCCCGACTGCACCAGAAAATGTGTGAAATGCTCAGTGTTTTCTATATTTTAGATACCAAAACTTCCCCCAAAGCTCCAAGGCAGGGCCTGAATTGCCCTGTGATTTTTCTCTTCACATTTAAATTAGAGAAGTCTCCACAAACATAAGGCACTTAGTCTAAAAATAAGGCACATTCCTGTTCCTCCTGGTTCCCTCCTCACCCTGGGCTAATTGGCAGATGTTTTACTGTCCCGAGGTTTTATTAATGAGCAATATTTCACTTAGAGCTAATTAAAATCTCCAGGCAGACTCCACTTAGCAATAGAGATGTCGGGTAGGAAGAGAGCAGGTGAGCAGAAAGCCTAATAACCATCATTATTTTGTAGGGAAGGAGGAATGAGGGGCAATAAAGCCCCCACATCAGAGACTCATAAATACAAAACGCTGCAGAAAGTTGCCAGATACGCTGAGTCACAAAATAATTCACTGGTGCTGCTTTAAAAACCTGGTTTTAAAGATGTTATTCAGCAAAAGATGTCAAGATCCTGCTCTCAGGACGTTGCTGCTCTGCTGGGACAGGAGGATCAGAAGATTTGGGGGATTCAAATTCTAGTTAAGGTGCATAAAATTATGGACATTTGTGCCAATACCTCACAAAATCCATGGCATTTCTGACCACTTTGCGAGGGTTTGTCCTGATGCAGTTGAATTTTACTGCAAGAAAACTCAACAGGTTCAGTAATTAACTCTCTCCATGTTAATTGGCTCCCAATTAACCTGCCAGAAACATTATAGATGTCAGGGGCACGTTTAAAAATATACACCCTGTTGCTTTAACCCGTTGTGGAACCACAGCCTATAGCAAGATGTAGCTCAGTGAGACCTGAATCACCACCCAGAATTATTCATTCAAAAATTCAAAATTCAAATTTAACAGCAACCAACACTTAACCAATTCATTAAACTATACAGACATTCCAAAGGTGACCTTGGAAATGCACCTTTGGGAACGTGCTGCTGAAATTCCAGCATTCCAGCTGTTCCTGCACTCCTGCAGATCACAGACATTACTCCATCACGCTCATTTGAACACTGACTTCATTTTAATTGGGCTCCTGTGCCTCATTTTTCCCCTCCCAGTGAAAAATGTTGCTCCTTCTAAGAAGCTCCAGCACCTCCTCACGTCCCCACCCGGCATTCCTTGTTAGAGCTCATTAGGCTGAGGTTTTTAAGTTGTTTTAAATAATGTGATTCTCTCCTCAGAGCCGAGCAGGATGAAGTGTTCACTTAAAAGGGAAAATTAAATCATGGAAAATAATAATTTACTGCACTTGCTCTGACAGGCACGACATCAATTTGCTGTTGTTCAGCTCGTGCTGTGATGGGGTTGGAAGTCGCCTTCTCCTCCCAAAACAACAAATGAGTTTTGATTTCTCTTCATTAAAGGCATCATTAATTCCTCCTCCTGGTTTCTGTTTGTTTTCCCTGCCATCCTCTCTGGTTCCTGTAAATTTAGCTCAGGCAGTGCATCCATCACATTTGTGGAACCAGCCCTCGGAAACGGGAAGTTTTCCAGGGATTCTCCCTCCTGCACCATCCTGGGAGAGGGATGGGGCTGTTTGCTCACAACTTTTCACTGGTGCTCAAAGAGCCAGAATAATTTGGAATTCGGCCTGAGCAGGGAGGCTGGGGGTGGGTTTTCCACCTTCCAAGAAACCAGGCCTTTCCCACTTTTTCCATGGTTTGGATTTCCTTTTTTTTTTCAGTGATGGAAGCAACTGCAGCCTGGCAGGGCCTTGTTTTAGGAGAGCTGTGGCTTTACTGTGATGGGATTAAATGTGGTCCAGGACAGAACCATCTTTAGCTGGTTGGAATTTCAGCTTTTAAAGACATTTTGTGCCCCTCAGTCTGCTGTTCACCGAGTTCAAGCTGCTGCTGAATTGGAGAACGGGAGGATTTCCCCCTGGAACTTTGCAGCTTCAGAGAATTCCCATTCAAAATGCAATATTTTACCCCAATTCACCCTGGTGAATCCATAAATATGCAACTCTGGAAACAACCACAGGTCCAGTGCTGGTTGCATTGTGTCCTCTATCTGTAAGAGTTTTACTGTTGAAGACATTTTTTCCTATTATAAAAAACCCAGACAAACCAACACACTTGGCTTTCTCTGGTGTTTATTTTGGCTTGTTGTGCAGCTGGAAGGACTCACAGCTTCTTTTGGAGTAAAAATATGTTATGATTGAGTGGGACATTATTAAATTATTATGAAATTTTTAATATTATGAAATTAATAATATTATGAATTTTTAATATTATGAAATTTTTAATATTATGAAATCATTAATAATATGAAATCATTAATAATATGAAATTATTAATGCTATTAAAAGACATAATATTTATACATCATATTTGGGAAGCTGAAGGAGGGAAGGAAAAGGCTGGTGAGGGGCAAACAGGGCACACACTCCTGGGCAAAACCTTCTGGCTTTGAATGGGAGTGTGGCAGCTCAGGTGAGCTCGTGCAGGCTTGCATTGCTCTTTCTTTACTCCTTCATTGCTCTTTCATTCCTCTTCCATCTCTGTGGCTTTCCCTCCAGCTCTGGGGGTTGTTTTCTGTCTCAGGGAGTGAGCACTGCACACCCTCCCAGATGTGGTGGTTTCTGAAGGTGAATAAACAGCAGCAGCACTTTGAGAGTGGTGGCAGAGGGGAACCAGCCCTTGTGCTGCCCCCACCTCCTCCTCGGGTGAATTTAGGGCCTTTTTCCCAGCAGCTGCAGCCCGTGAGTGTGTCTGGTATTGCTGCACAACCCCCAAATCCCTGCCCAGCTGGGCTGATGAGCCTTTGTCTCCTCACAAGAACTCTTTGAGACTTCGCATTTGTGGAGTTCTCTGTAATAAAAAGCTTTGATGAACTGTATCACTATTTTATCCGTGGCACTGACACTCTCTCCAGCTGCACCAGGAAGGGCAAACAGTGGGTTTGGAGGTTGCAGAAGCGTCCTCAGCTGTCACCTCAGCCCTGGGGGTTTTTCTTTACGTCCCCTGTACTCTGACCCTGAACAAGCCTTTCCTTTTGCTTCCCTCTCAGACTGCTTTAATGATTGCCCTCATTCTCTTTAATCACTGGGTTTGATGTCCAGTTTATCCTCCCCAAATGCAGCAGCCCTGACTGCATCAGATCCCCTCCTCAATCCCCTGATCACTCCAGACCAGAGGCAGATAAACTATCTCAGGTAGCCTTTGACGTCCTCCCAGCAGCAGCTGAATGCCATAAAAGATCCATCACCCTTTCCTTGGTGTCCAAAAGGTTTTGTTATTGAACATTTGGGAGGCTGGAGGTCACTCCAAATCACGATATTGTTCACTTCATAAGCCCATTTGATCCTGTCAGCTGGTGTTATGTGTTAAAGTTGTTCCTGAGGAGTCCCCAGCATTTATCAACTTCTCAGCCTTCAGCCCCTTTGCACCCTGGGCTTTGAGCACTGATTGATTCATTAAATGTCTCCAAAGTCAAGCCATTTATCTTTTCCACTGTATTTTATTGTCTCTATTCCCCCTGACTTACCAAGCTCCAGCACAACACCCAGTTCTGTTCACTGGAAGAATCTGTGTCAACACAGGGTGTGTTTTTACAGGCAAGAAAGAGGCACCTGCACCTGTTTTTACTGAGTATCCAAAACTGGGGGGTGTCTTATGGGAATTCTGGTGGGTTTTAGCTTGGCTGTGCTCTCCTGCACACCCCATCCCTTGCACAGCCACCCAATTTTCAGCCCAAAGCACAATTCCAAGGTCCAAAGGATTATTTGTTGATTATTTTTTCAGAGTTTCCCAAGCACAACCCCTTATTTATATAATAAAAGCCTCCAAAGTAGAGAGAACAGCATCACTTTTAAACCCCCAAAGGCCACATCTGGGTGACCAACGAGTTAATCTGAGGTCCAAACCCCCCACTTTTGGCCTACAAACCCACACTTCAAAAATTCCAAGGTTGATGATTTTAAAGTTCAAAGCCCAGAGGGCCCAGAGCATTATTTTTAAGAGTCTGACCAGGGAGGTTGGTGGCACTGTGATGTCACACTGAGTCTGTGACACGTGGGGACAAAAAGGGGCTGTGGGGCGGTGGCATCTGCACTCTGGAGGACACAATCCACAGGGTGACCACCTTTGGCACTGAAAACATGGCTGTGGCCACTCAGGATCAAACTGGCAACGTGAGCCAGGCCAAGATGGACTTCTGGGATGGGATGGAGTCTGTCTTCATGATGCCCAACATCACCCCCACAGGTACAGGCACTGCAGGAGCATCACCAGGACCCACCTTCCCAGCCCTGGGGACACCTGGGGACAGCAGGACACACACACCTGGCTGTTAAAATCATTAGAAATGCTGAAATAAGGTGCAAGTGAGACCAGATGCCAAAGTCAACAATATGGATTTTATTTAACAGTAAACTTGAGGCAGAGAAAGCAAAATAGAAAGAAAAAAGAAAAAGGAGGGGGGGGAAGAAAGAATTGGACAGAGAGAAATTAAGTAGAAAATATATCACCACTCCATGGTATCCCGTGGTCCTCTTGGTCTTCTGGTCTTCTTGGTGGTGAGGGTCCCACAAAAGAGAGTCCAGTGGATTAAGATCATCAGGAGATGCCCAGGCACCTCCCTTGGGGGTGGGGGGAAGCTTTGCAGTCTCCTGTGACAGGATCTGGATTTGCTCCATCACTTGGATCTCCTGCAGTCCTCTGGTGGTGGGAAGGCTCAGGAATGAGTCAGGGGGGGTCTTTGATGGTTTGTGACCCTTCTCAGCTGCCTCTCATGTGAATGTCCCGTGTGTGTGTGACCTTCTGGGAGTGGAGTGGTTACTCCTTGGGTTTGGGGTGGAGAGATTTCACCATCACACCCAAACTCTTCTCCTCCACCACCCCATGAGCCTTGTTTCCTTCTCCTCAGGCCTGAGATAACTGGACAACAGTCTTACCTCAAGTTCTCATCACAGTCCCAGTTCCAGTCAGGAGGCACACTGGGGAGGGGGGGGTTTGCTTTGGGGGTCCCAGACGGGCAGTGGCTTCCTTGCAGATTGACAAAAAGGCTTTCCATGACTTTGCCAATGTTTTAGACATTACCAGCACTTCAGTCCATCCCAAAGCCCCACAGCCAGGGGTGCTGGAGGGCTGAGAAGCAGCAGGAGCAGAGCACAACTTGGCTTTCCCTTGCTTTCCAGAGCGAAGGGCTGTCTGGAATGCAGTGTCCAGATACGTCCAACGGCAGCTCCTGCAGCACAAGGTGAGACAACACCTGCCTCCTGAGCACCCTCCTGGACAATCCCCACCTCCTGAGCACCCTCCTGGACAATCCCCACCTCCTGAGCACCCTCCTGGACAACCCCCACCTCCTGAGCACCCTCCTGGACAATCCCCACCTCCTGAGCACCCTCCTGGACAACACCTACCTCCTGAGCACCCTCCTGGACAACACCTACCTCCTGAGTACCCTCCTGGACAATCCTCACCTCCTGAGCACCCTCCCAGACAACCCCCACCTCCTGAGCACCCTCCTGGACAAAACTCATCTCCTGAGCACCCTCCTGGACAATCCCCACCTCCTGAGCACCCTCCTGGACAACACCTACCTCCTGAGCACCCTCCTGGACAACACCTACCTCCTGAGTACCCTCCTGGACAATCCCCACCTCCTGAGCACCCTCCAAGACAAAACTCATCTCCTGAGTACCCTCCTGGACAAAACTCATCTCCTGAGCACCCTCCTGGGCAACCCCCACCTCCTGAGCACCCTCCTCATCTGCCCAGGGAAGTGGGGAGTCCCCGTGGACCTGGAGCGTGGTCTGCAGTTCCTTTGCCCTCCTCAGAAAGCAGGAAACCCCCATCAGAATCCCCCATGGAGGGACAGATGGGGTCTGTGCGGAGGTGGTGTCACCTCTGGGAGGGGGTGTTGTACCACAGGGCTGATCCTGATCCTTGGAGACCCTGGAGCTGCCTCTGCCCCCACCCCAGCACTGCTTGTTAGGCAGGGAAGTGAAAAGAGAACCCTCGACACCTCCTCCCCGCTGTCCAGGCTCCCACTCCCTGAGCAGTGGGAGCTGTCCAAGGTGCCGTCCCTGCACGGAACCATTCCCAGCTCTTCCCTCTGACCACTCCTCACCTTTGGCCTTTCCCTCCTGCTGCAGGGGATCCGAGTTCCCACCCTTGGCTCCTTCGATGTGGTCCACACAGAGATCCCCGTGGGGGACAGGACTGTGACTCTCCAGAGGCCGATGTTCTACCTGGCCAGGAACCTCGGGGGAGTCTCCAATCTCATGGACAACAACATTGACCTGACTGGTAAGACAAGGAGTGACTCCCTGGGCTCAGGGGGGATCACACTCCTGTTCTAGAAGCAAAGGGAGCAGGTCTGACCCCAGGTCTGACCCCAGGGCCTCTCTGGGTGATGGCTGCAATAAACAGCCCTCGGGAAGCGCCTGTGGCCGGATCCCGCGGGAGTTCCTCCCCTCTCTCCGGTGCTTTTCCAGGGGATAAGCCACTGGAGCCTCTGAAATACGCCCAGGTGGCCGTGGAGGCCTCTGTGTCCCGGAGGAAAGCAGAGAGCTGCATCCTGGGCACCACCTCCCTCCTGTACCACTGCCTGGCCAAGGGCGCGGGTGCCGCCTTCGTCCTCAGGGACGTGGGCGTGCTCCTCATCGAGGGCAGGAGGGCACACATGAGGTTCTACCCTGACTTCCTGGAGGAGATGACTGGGAAGAAGATCCAGGACAGGGCTACAATGAAGGTGAGCCTTTTGTTTCCCCCCCTGCTTGGGCAGAGCCTCAGCACTGCTGCTGGAGGGGCCCCTTTGACCTGGCCAGCTCTTCGACCACAGAGAGCTCCTGCTGCCCCGAGCTCCTCCAGTCCTGAGTGCCCGTGGGAGTTGGGACTTGGCTCCTCACCAAGAGCCCAAGACCACAAGAAAAGGGCAGGAACACAGGGGAAGGAAAAAAACCCCTAAAAGACCAAAATAACAGAAGCAAAGCAGTATATATATATATATATATATATATATATATATTTATATTTATATATTTGTATTTTTATATATTTATTTATACATTTATGAATATTTATATATTTATATATATTTATTTATTTTTATTTATATATTTTTATATATTTATATTTATATATTTATTATATTTATTATATTTATTTATATATATATTTATAACAGAAGCAAAGCAGTATATATACACATTATATATATATTTACTCTTATTTACAGTTACAAAAACTATGTACATATAAAAAAAGGAACCCCAACACCCTCCCCCCCCCAAAAAAAAAAAAGAAACAGAAGAACAGATACGTGGCCAATAAAGAACTAGCAGAACAAAATCTTAATATTTTCCTTAAGAAAGCAAAGCCCGCACCACCAGATCTCTCCTCTCAAACTGGGAAGAAGCAACAGGCTCTCAAAAACTCACAGGCCTGCACTCCCACATGAGAAATCCATGTGCAGAGAGGTTGCCTGGCTTTCTCCAACTCTGCTGGAAAAGATCTGCTTTCCAACTTCCTTCCCCCTTCTATTTACATTTCTGCTTACGTAAAGAATAGAACGGAGTGTTGGGATATGGGTACTTCCTTAGTTTCAGCCTGGTTGCCAGGAAAAGGCCTAAACCAAACCACTACAGTGCCCTGGCCATGCTGAGGATGTCCTGGCATCTCCACCTTTCTCTGCTGCAGGTTCTCCAGCAGCTGGACCTGGTGGTGTCCCGGGACGTGCCCGTGGCTTCCCTGGCGCTCACGAGCCGCCTCCTCATCTTTCCCGAGTGAGTGTGGAGTTCTGGCAGCCTCGGGCTCTGCCTGAGACAGCCAGCAGTGGGACAAGAGGGCACAGCCTGGAGCTGCCCCAGGGCAGGTTTAGGTTGGCCATGGGGAAGAAGTTCTTCCCAGAGAGAGGGATCAGCCCTTGGAATGGGCTGCCCAGGGAGGGGGGGAGTCCCCGTCCCTGGAGGGGTTTGAGCAGAGCCTGGATGTGGCATCAGTGCCATGGTGGGGGGGACAAGGTGGGGTTGGGTCACAGGTTGGACTCGATGATCCCAGAGGTCTTTTCCAACCTGGTTGACTCTGTGATCCTGTGGCTCAGCTGCAGTTTGGGGGCAGTTTGTCCTCACGAGCAGGGCAGTGCTGCCGTGGGGACACAGAGCTGCCCCTCTCACCTGTGTCTGGCCGGTCATCACTCCTGTGAGCAGACCTGAGGGGACACAGCAAGGATTTTAGGTGACACTTGCTTTCCCATCATGGCCAGGAATCCTTTCCCGAGTGCTCCCCTTTCCCAGGACAGTCCATAGGGATGGGGCACAGCTGACCTGGGAGAGCAGCCGGTGCCAAACTCTCCTGTGACAGGGGCTGGTGGTGCTGTGGCTCATTCTTGTGCCTCCTCTTTGCCTCCAGGTTTGAACCGGTGGGTCTGCCCCTGTCGCTGCTCAGGGACCATCTCAGGGCCTGCAGAGACGTCCCTGGTGGGGACAAAGGGAAGCAAACAGAGAGTTTGCCACCTGTCGGGCGACGCACGGAAGGTAAAGCAGCTCCCACCTCGTTTCCGTAGCCAGGGCAGCTGGCTTCTGGGAGCTGATGGGACAATCCCCAGGGATGAGTGTCACAAGGGTCTGACTTGTGCCAAAGATGGTGCCAGCTCAGCACAGCCTCTTCTCCTCAGGTTGGCTCTGCAGGAGCTCTGTGGAGGGAGGTGCCCGAGAGGCACATCCCTGGGTGCAGCAGGAGGGCAGGGATCCGAAGGCTCTGGAAAGTTCCCTCTGCTTTTGAGAGAGGCTCTGTCACCTCAGGGGCATCACCCAGCTCCCCTGCCCCAAACCAGAGGGGCCTAGGGAGTGCTGGCACTGGGGAGGGTGCCAGGCCTCTGGAGACATCCCAGCTGTGCTCTTCTGACAAAGGTCTCTCCTTCCTGGTTCCAGGGAGATTCCCTGGCCTGGCCATGCCCGCTGGCTCCACCACTAAGGCAGACAAGCAGCCCTGGCACGAGGGGGGTGAGGAGATGAAGGACAGCTCTGGGATCAGGTGAGACTGGAGGCTCAGGGCTGCAGCCAGAGCCCCTTCCCCAGCACCAACCCCCTGAGGGACCTGCTGGACCCCCCCATGGCACAGCCTGGCTCCTGTGCAACCCCATGGGGACAGCCTGTGCCAGCCCAGGGGCCCAGCTCAGTGGGGTTCCTGTGGGCAGGATGTGGCCCCAGACCCCTCCCAGCCTGTTGTGTCCTTCCAGGAAGCTGCCAGCGATCCCAGGGGCTGCTGCTGCTGGAAAAAAGCAGTCTGGGACTGACCAAGCCAAGGGCAAACCCACCCCCAAGGGTCAAGGGTCAAAGCAGAGCCACGGAGAGGAAACAACCACTCAGAGGGGCAGGGCAGGAGGAGATGGAGAAACAAAAGATCCTCTTGGAAGAGAAGGAGAAAAGAAAGTTCATCTTGGAAGAGAAGTATCAAAAGATTCCCTTGGAAAAGAAGGAGAAAAGAAAGTTCATCTTGGAAGAGAAGGAGCATCAAAAGATTCCCTTGGAAAAGAAGGAGGAAAGAAAGTTCATCTTGGAAGAGAAGGAGCATCAAAAAGTTCCCTTGGAAAACAAGGAGAAAAGAAAGTTCATCTTGGAAGAGAAGCATCAAAAGATTCCCTTGGAAAAGAAGGAGAAAAGAAAGTTCATCTTGGAAGAGAAGGAGCATCAAAAAGTTCCCTTGGAAGAGAAGGAAAAAGGGAAGTTCATCTTGGAAGAGAAGTATCAAAAGATTCCCTTGGAAGAGAAGGAAAAAGGGAAGTTCATCTTGGAAAAGAAGGAGAAAAGAAAGTTCATCTTGGAAAAGAAGGAGAAAAGAAAGTTCATCTTGGAAGAGAAGGAGCATCAAAAGATATTCTTGGAAGAGAAGGAGAAAAAAAAGTTAATCTTGGAAGAGAAGGAGCATCAAAAGATTCCCTTGGAAGAGAAGGAGCATCAAAAGATTCCCTTGGAAGAGAAGGAGAAAAGGAAGATCTTCCTGGAAGAGAAGGAGAAAAGGAAGATCTTCCTGGAAAAGATGGAGAAAAGAAAGATCTTCCTGGAAGAGAAGGAGAAAAGGAAGATCTTCCCAAAAAAGAAGGAGAAAAGGAAGATCTTCCTGGAAAAGATGGAGAAAAGAAAGTTTCTCCTGGAGGAAAAAGAGAAAAGAAAGTTCATCTTGGAAGAGAAGGAGCATCAAAAGATTCTCTTGGAAAAGAAGGAGAAAAGAAAGTTCGTCCCAGAAAAGAAGGAGAAAAGAGAGTTTCTCCTGAAAGAAAAGGAGAAAAGAAAGTTTATTCTGGAAGAAAAGAAGAAAAGAAAGTTTCTCCTGGAAGAAAAAGAGAAAAGAAAGCTCGTTTCAGAAGAGGAGTGAAATATTCCCTGGGAAGAGAAGGAGAAAAGAAACTTCTTCCCAGAAGAGAAGAAGAGAGGAAAGTTGCTCTTGGAAGGGTGTCCCTGCCATGGAGTGCCCAGGCCTGGGAGCCTGAGGGTTCCACCTCCAGGGTCTCTGTCGTGCTGGCACCGGGCCCTGAGCCAGCCCAGGGGCTCAGACCACGGCCTGAGGCCTTCTGGTCGGTGATGAAGGAGCCCCAGAAGAGCATTTTGGCGGGATACAGGTTCGAACCCGCCCTGTTTGTGCCCCCCCTGCACCCCGAGGGGCCCCCAGCTCCGAGGTCCCCCGTGCTGAAGAAGACAGAGGTGGTGGCCAGGGGGCTGTGGCCGTGGATGGAGTGACAGGGCCGGGCTGGGCAGCACCTGAGGTGGCAGAACTGGGACGTGACTGGAAGTGCTGCCATTCCAGGGGCTGTTCCCTGCTGGGAATGCAGAGTCAGAGGGGGGATCTCCAGGGATCCCTTGGCTCTGATGGATTTTGGGGTCAAGGTGTCCTGCCCTGAAGCCATCTGGGGGGCTGGAGGGCACAGCCAGGACTCTGTCCTGGAGCAGGGAGCCTCCCATGATGTGGGATTGCCAAAGGAACCCAAAGCCCAGCCCCAGTGCTGCTGCTGGCAGGGGTGAGACCATGCAAGGAAGAACAGAGTGGGTTGGGTTTGGTTTGAGACTTGGCAAAAAGCTGAATTGACTCTAATTGACCAATTGAGCCTCATTTGGAGAGTCCAAAGGCTCATTGTTGAGCCCAACCCCAGGTCAGGGGCTGATCCTCCTCTTTAGAATTCATGTTCTGCCATTTGGAGAGCTCAAAGCTTCTTCTGAGCCTCCAGCAGAGTCTGCCCAGCAGCCTGTGAGGGGTCATTGGACCAGGGCAGACTTTGAGGAGGCAGGTGACTGATATCGGATCAATCCATGCAACCTCGAGGCTTTCCATGTTGAAAATTTCCTGTTGGAAAGTGTTCCAGGGGATTCTTGATCTTTGACATAAACACCTGGAAATGTGAGGCTGCAGGATGACCTTCCTTTGATCCCGGTGGCTGTGAGGTCAGTCAGAGACAGACCCTAAAAATTCTGCCCAGGAATTTCTTTATTCTTATGAGATATCAGCTTGTGCTAATAGATATGATCATTGATTGTGTTAATAAACCTCTAAAAAGGGGATGAGAGCTCAGTGTTGAACATTTTTGTGACAAAATCCGAGTCAGTTTGAAGCAGCAGCTGGACTGTGTTTGGATATAATCCCGTTCCTGTGGACATCAGGAGCATGGACATTATCCTGGCTCGTTTAATGTGCTCCAGTGCCCCCATGTCACTGCTCTGCAGAACCCCCAGCATTGCTGAAGTGCTCTGTTAGAGAAGAGTTGTGATCCTTCAGCTTTTGAAATCCCTTTGGATCCCTGCAGAGGTGGAAAGCAGGTGCAGCACAGGAGTTGTGCTCACTGTCCCCACACACAGTCCCAACACCCCCCGGGAGCCCTCAGTTTGTAAAGACACAATTCCAACCCTCTCCAGCTGTTTGGAGGGAAAATCTGGAAGAACTTTCCCAGGATGAGGGGATTTCAAGGATCCCTCTCCCAGCAGACCAGAGATGAGCTCTGGGATTGCCCTGGGCAGGCAGTTCTGCTTCCCAACCACCACCCTGGGGAGGCTTTTATTAGAGGAAAACCCCCAAATTAACAAACACCACCCATTGCTCTATTGCACAGCCCATCCCTTGCACACCTGCAGTACCAACTTCTGCTCCTTCAGCCCCTTTGCACACTGATCTTTAAGCACTGATTGATTCATTAAATGTCTCCAAAGTTAAATCAGTTTAAGCACTGATTGATTCATTAAATGCCTCCAAAGTCAAGCCATGGATCTGTTCCACTGTATTTTATTGTCTCTTCTCCCTGCCTTACAAACCTCCAGCACAGCCCTGAGTTCTGTTCACTGGAAGAATCTGTGTCAGCCCAGGGTGTATTTTTACACACAAGAAAGAGGCACCTGCTTTTCTGCAGTATTTCAAGTTGCAGTGTGTCTTATGGGAATTCTACTGGGTTTTTTTTTTTTGGAGTAGCATTTATTTGCAGTTCAGATGTTCACCCAGTTCTGTTATTCAGCCCTGGTTTTGTTAGGCTTCACATTTTTAACCCAGTTATGTATATTTAGGTAGGTAACGTGTCAGGAAGGAGAATATATGAATACACACAATTTCTGCTGGTAAAAATCAACAGAAATGCTCAAAGCTTTGAAAACCAACTTCTGCCACTGCCTACCCACCATCTTGGAATCATGGAATGGTTTGGGTTGGAAGGGACCTCAAAGCTCATCCAGTGCCTCCCCCTGCCATGGACACGGACACCTTCCACTGTCCCAGGTTGCTCCAAGCCCTGTCCAACCTGCCCTTGGACACTTCCAGAGATCCAGGAGCAGCCACAGCTTCTCTGGGCAACCTTTTCCAGGGCCTCCCCACCCTCCCCATAAAACATTTCTGCCTTGTGTCCCACCTGATCCTGCCCTCTGGCAGTGGGAAAACCTCCCCCTGGGCCTGGCACGGCAGAGCCTGGGAAAAAACTCTCTGCACCTTTCCCAGAAACCCTTTATATGCTGAAAGGTCATAACAAGGTCTCCTGGAGCCTTCTCTCCTCCAGGCTGGGCACCCCCAGCTCTCTTGGGGTTTCTGCACAGGACAGTTGGATCATTTTGGAGCCTCTTCTGGGCCTGGTCTAACAGAGCCGGGTCTTGCCTGTGCTGGGGGCCCCTGAGCTGGACGTGGGTCCAGGCAGAGTGTGGAGAATGGAACAGGGGGTAAGAATTCCTTCCCATCCACAACTTCCACCCAGACAATTATGCTGCTTCTCCTCATTTTATTCTTATTCTTTTTATTCTTCTTCTTATCGCTATTATTATTATTTTATTATTATTATTCTCTTTACTATTACTCTACTGCTAAATCTCCACCTCCTCCCGGCTGCCCAGGGGCCGGAAACGGGCTCTCCAAGTTGCCAGGTGCCTGTGGAGAGAGGGAGCTGCTGGAGCCCTGCCATGGCCGGGCTGTGGGGAGGGTGTGAGGGGGCAGAGCAGCTCTGGGCATGCCGTGGGATGTGGGCACTCCTGGGATGTGGGCACCCCTGGGATGTGGGCACTCCTGGGATGTGGGCACCCCTGGGATGTGGGAACCCCTGGGATGTGGGCACTCCTGGGATGTGGACACCCTGTGGGATGTGGGCACCCCTGGGATGTGGGCACCCCTGGGATGTGGGCACCCTGTGGGATGTGGGTACCTCTGGGATGTGGGCACCCCTGGGATATGGGCACCCTGTGGGATGTGGGCACCCCTGGGATGTGGGCACCCCTGGGATGTGGGCACCCTGTAGGATGTGGGTACCTCTGGGATGTGGGCACCCCTGGGATGTGGGCACCCCTGGGATATGGGCACCCTGTGGGATGTGGGCACCCCGTGGGATGTGGGTACCTCTGGGATGTGGGCACCCTTGGGATGTGGGCACCCCGTGGGATGTGGACACCCTTGGGATGTGGGTACCCCTGGGATGTGGACACCCTGTGGGATGTGGGCACCCCGTGGGATGTGGGTACCCTTGGGATGTGGGCACCCTGTGGGATGTGGGCACTCCTGGGATGTGGGCACTCCTGGGATGTGGACACCCTGTGGGATGTGGGCACCCTGTGGGATGTGGGCACCCAGCTGCACAGTTGAGCTGTGGGCACGGAGAGCTCCAGGCATCAAACGGGGCATCAGCTCCCAGCCCAAATCTGCGCTGAGTTTGGGCAGTGACCAACTGGGCACCCAGAGCTGCACAGCTCGAGACACCCCACGGCTGGCACAGCCACCCAAGACTTGTTTGGCAACCCCTTCCTCCCACAGCACATCCTTTGCCCCCACCCCTCACTCACCCCTGGATGTCCTTTGCCCAGGCAGGGACCACCAAGCAGAGGAAGAGCACCGTGAGCAGCCCGGCCACGGCCACCAGGCAGTTGCTGAGAAGGACCTTCCTGCTGGTCTCAGCATCCACTGCTCCTCTGTGTGCCCTGCCCGCCACAGCCTTTGGGTTGGTCCTGCCCAGCCTCCTCTTGTCCACACCTGGAGGAACAACTGTGCCCGTCAGTGTGTCCTGCTCACCCCTGGCAATCCCATGGGAGGGCTGACACTGCCAGGAAAGGTCCTTTCCCATTTTATTGCCACCTCTGAAGGAGGGAATATCCTGGGTGGCAATGTTTCCTGGCTGTGGTGGAAGCTGTGATGGGAACAGTTCCAGGCATGGAGAAAAACATACAGCAGTTGACAGGATTTTATTATATGGACCTTACAGTTATTATATGGCCCTTACAGTTATTTTATGGTCCATAGAATAAAATCCTGCTGTATGTTTTTCTCCACGCCTGGAACTGTTCCCATCACAGGAAGCCAAGGGAACTCCCGAAGGCCTTGCAAGTCTGTGCTCTCTGAGCCTCTCTCTCTCCTCTCAGCCTTGCTCACACTCTGCAGTGGCCACAATCCAGTCCTCCCAGTGTCTGCCCTCGCTCCCTGTTCCTGGGCATCCTTCACATTTGCCCACAATGTCTCCTGTGCTCTCCTACCTCCCCTTTCCAGGCTTGGCTGGCGCTGCCTGGATGGAGATCTCTGACCCTGGGGGACACATTGTCCCCTTGCACAGGACTCAGGGGGCCAGACACAGAACACGTGGTTTCCCTTTCTGCAGCACAAGCAGTCCTTGCCTGCCCCCAATTTTCTGGCCTTGTCTCTCCAGGCTGTGGCCCCTGGCAGGGCTGCTCCCTGCTTGGATAGTTTGGGAAACATTCCCCTAGCCTGGCATGGGGGCTACTGGCACTGCCAAGGGTCAGGGAAAGGTGAAGCCTCAGCATGGCTCAGGAGGCTGCAGGAGGATCGTGCAGGGTCCCCCTGCACTCCCTCAGATCCCAGGAGGGATTCCTTCTGTTGTGCCAGGGCCTCCAGGGCCTCCTGGCACGCTCTGGGATGCAGGTGCTGCGGGAGGGATGTTCCAGGATCCAGAGTCACATTTCCCATCATCTGCTGAGCGGGGTCCCAAGAGGGCAAAGCTGTGAAATCCCTGGGAACAGGGTGTGGGGGGCAGGGAGCATCTCCCACATGCCCAGAGGGTCCCAGAGCGTGTCCCTGGCACGGTCACACCCTCCCCCCTCGGGTGGCCAAGGGACAGCAATTACCTGACCCTCCTGTTGGCTGAGCAGCCCCCGGCTTTTCCCCAGGGAATGGCACCTCCTGATGGCCTTCCTGAGGTACCTCCACAGTCTCGAGCTCCACAACTTCAGAGAGAAAGTGCATCGGTTCAGTTCCAAGTCCCTGTTCCTCAGTGGGATCCCAA